GAAACAGAAAAAAGAATGAAAAGAAATGAGGATAGTATAAGGGAACTCTGGGACAACATGAAGCACACTAACACTCACATTATAGGGGTCCCAGAAAGAGAAGAGAGAGGGAAAGTACCTGAGAAAATTTTTGGAGAGATAATAACCGAAAACTTCTCCCCACTCGGGTAGGACAGTCACCCAAGTCCAGGAAGCGCAGAGTTCCACACAGGATCAACCCAAAGAGCAACACACCAAGGCACATAGTAATTAACCCAACAAAAATTAAGGGTAAGGAGAGAATATTAAAATCAGTAAGAGAAAAACAACAAATAACATAAGGGAACTCCCATAAGGTTATCAGCTGAGTATTCGGCAGAAACTCCACAGGCCAGAAGGGAGTGGCACAATATATTTAAAGTGATGAAAGGGGAAAAACCTACAACCAAGAATACTCTATCCAGCAAGGTTCTCGTGGAGAAACTGAAAGCTTCACAGATAAACAAAAGCTAAAGGAATTCAGCACCACCAAACCAGGTTTATAACAAATGTTAAAGGAACTTCTCTAGTCATCAAACCACAAGAAAGGAGAATAAAAAGTAGAAAGAGGGGGAAAAAAAAGACTGCTTTGGCAGTTCAGAGTGTATGATTCTATATATATTTTGAAATTGTTTGTTCTACTTCTGTGAAAAAAGTGAGTATTTTGATGCACTGGATCTGCAGATGGCTTTGGGTAGTACGGCCATTTTGATAATGTTGATTCTTCTAATCCAAGAGCATAAGATATCTTTCCATTTCTTTGTACCATCTTCAATTTCCTTCATCAGTGTTTCACGGGTTTCAGAGTATAGGTAACCTCCTTGGTTAAGTTTATTCCTAGGTATTTTGCTATTTTGATGCAACGGAAATGTTTATGCCAGTTATAAAATTCTGTTTTTTGAAATAAAAAAAAGTGAATGAAGGGCTGCAAATGGCAAAATAGCCTTCTTTCTTATGGGTTAGCTGTATTCCATTACATATATATGCTGCATCTTCTTTATACATTCATCTATTGAAGTGCACTTAGGATGCTTCCATATCTTGGCAATTATAAACAATTATAAATAGTGTTGCTGTTAATACCAGGGTGTACGTATCCTTCTGAATTAATTCTTATTTTGTGATTGGTTCATTCCTTTGATAACTATGTAAGTTTAAAAAGCTAAAGCTCTAAACGTTCTTAGAAACAATGAACAGTATACACGTAAATTAAAAAAACAAGCAGTAAAAATTAAGATAATATTGACTCTGCTCTAAATTAGGAGAAGTGTGTAAGTTTTAAATTGGGTGGAGAGATACAGATAAAGATATAAAATTTATTTTTCCTCCACTTTAGGAGCTCTTTTAAGAACTAATATCCCTCATGGTGAGGAAATAATTAATAGAAGTTCATGAATTTTTACTTTCCCTTTGTTTATTCCCTATAAACTAATATAGAAAAACAACACACAATTACACAATAATACCATCTTCTAGAATTGTGTCTATGTAGACATCTACCTCTTCTACCTGATTTTATGCATATATATACCTGGAGGAACATGACTTAATATTAAACTTTTTTTCTGATGGTGGACTTTTGGTTATTTGGGGTTTGTTTCTTATTTCTTATTTTATTTTTTAATCTCTAGTTTATTTTTTCTCCCCCCTCCCCAGTTTTGCTGAGATATAATTAACATATAACATTGTGTAAATTTAAAGTATATAACATATAAACATATATGTATATACTGTCAAGTGATTACCACAACAAGTTTAGGTAACACATTTAACACCTCATATAGTTACAATTTGGGTGAGGTGTGGGTGTGAGAACTTTTAAAATCTACTTTCTTAGTAACTTTCAAATATATAGTACAGGACAGTTAACTATAGTCACTATGCTGTACATTACATCCCCCAAATTTATTCATCTTAAAACTGGAAGTTTGTGCCATTTGACCACACTCTTCCATTTTCCAAGAATGGTTTTGTTTCCTTTCTCTCATCTTTTTCTTTAAACTGCTTCAATTATTTATCATTTTAATAAAAATCAAGTCATTATTCAAAATAACAAAAATAAAACCTCTCTCTATTGGGGAACAAAATCACCATAGTGTTGTGTTAGTAATAATTCAAGACATCACTTTCCAATATTTCTTCTAGTGGCAGTGTCAGGAAAACTACATTTTTGTTGCCATCAAAATATTATATTTATCTCTTTTTAGACTATTCATACAGCACGAAGTCACATCTTACCTTCTGAGCATACAAAACACCAGCTAACGTTCACGTGCTCATGATTCCGGCAGCCCCGTCTGGGGGTGAAGTGATTGGGGCAGATGATACTATTAGATGCAAGGATCTTAGACCCAGCAGCTAGGCAAAAGTCATTGGCATGGTATGCCACTGGACAGCGGACACAGCGCATCAGGCGGCCTAAAAATACGAGATTAAATATAAAAACAATGTGAGTTATTTTGAAGGGGAGGGGAATACCACGTAAAACCAGGGCTCCAAAAGCACATGTGAACATGGTGCCCGTTGAACTAGTCCATTACTCTCTTCTCTCTCACATAAATGCTGCTGGTACTCTGAGAAAAGCTAGAGGCAATGAAGAAACACACCCAGATTGCATCTGGAAACATCCATTGCCCACAGAGATTCTTCAGTTAGACTGATCCACACAAGAAACCCATACCTTTAGACGCAGTAACACTGGCGGGATTAGCAGCGTGGCAGGTTATACATATGTGGAGGGAGCACCGGAAGCCCTTGTTCTGCATGACAGTGGGTGGATACTTCTGAACACACTCTTCATGGTAAAACTTTCCACACAAGGGCAGAAGGCACCTTTTAACATCTTCCCCACTCTGCTTACATACAAAACAGGTATGTATTCCTGGGACAGAAAGAAAGAAATAAACAAATTAATACCAATTCAAGAATTCACTCAATTCTAAACTATTATGTGAAAAGTTAGTGAGTATACAATTCTGCAACAAATTCCAACATGGGGTGGTGGTGAAGGGTTTCCACACCAGGCAGCAACTCTCTTGACACCAGCTGGGTATTCATAATTCAACTCAATTCTGACAATATCTACTTGGAGATATATCAGATCCCATAGTAAGGGCTCAGTCTTATAATACTGCCACCTGCCCTCCGCCCCAGCCTTCAGACACTAGGTGTAAGTCAAGGTTGTCATTTGTACTTCTGACCAACTGGCTATAAATCAGAGCTTTCTGAGAGCCCCTCTCCAACTCCTTTGGGTTCAATTAATTTCCTAGATTGGCTCACAGAACTCAGAGAAACATTTTACTTACTAGATCATCCATTTATTGTAAAAGGATATAACTCAGAAACATCTACATAAAAGAATGCATGGGGCAAGGTATGGAGAAAGGGCTCAGAGCTTCCAGGCCCACCCTCAGCACACCACTCTCCCCAAATCTTCATGTGATCACCAACCCAGAAGCTTTCCAAACCCCATCCTTTTGGGGTTTAATGGAGGCTTCATGACACAGGCATGAGCTGTTAAATCACTGGCAACTGAGAACTGATTCAACCTTCAGCCCTGTCCCCTCTGAAGAGGTCAGGGGGACGTGGGACTCAAAGCTCCAGTCCTCTAATCCCCATGGCTGGTTCTCCTGGCAATCAGCTCCCTTTGTTAGGTGGGTCCAAACATCATCTCATTAATATAACAAAAGACATAACATCTTCATCTCTCTCATCACTTAGGAAATTTCAAAGATTTTAAGAGCTCTGTGGCAGAAAATGGGCAAAGACCACCAAATATATATTTATTATAAATAAAGTATCACAGTGAAGAACTTTACAACAGACTGATCAGGCTAACAACATGAACCTACTGAACAATATCAATACTAAGTGGGAAACTTAACACATGCTTGCTGACGTGATGCAACAGGAAGTACACATGAGCCACAGAATACTTGTGTCAAAAGAAAACTGAGCTGACCCAGCCTCCACATGTAACTGCAGGTTTCCAGGAAATATGGAGGATGGAGGAACAAGCAAAAGAGACACCTCAAGATGCAATCAACCAAATTTACAGCATGGAAATTTTAGTGGGAAAAATGGCCACTGTTCTCAAAAACTAAAAAACATTAAAAAATTGGGTGAGAGGCCTCTTAAATATGTGCAGCTATTTGGATCCAGCTATAAAGTTTGTTACGTAAAAGGTGACAGGTGAGGTCTGGTTCAGCACGGACCCAGTAGGGAAACCACATGTGGATACTGAGCACTTAAAATGGGACTAGTGCAAACTGAGATGTGCAGTCAGTGTCAATGGACGCTGAAGCTTGAAGACCTAGCACATAAAAAGGAATATAAAATATTTCAGTCATTTTTCATATTAATTATATGCTGAGATATTTCTAACATACTGGGTTAATTAAAACATTTTTTTGTGGTAAAGAACAAAGAAATTGAGTGAGGAGACAGTACTACTGTAGGCCAAAAGAAATTGAAGAGATGATTTTTTAAATTAAAAAAATACAACACAGGGACATTATTTGGGTACTGATTCGAAACACTGTAAAACAACACCTTTTGAGACAAAATGGGAAAATCTGACAGTGGGACTGAGTAGCAGACAGGAGCTACTGTACAATTTTGCTACACACTGAATATATATATTTTAGAGTTATAACTTTAGCTCTTTTGAAATGTGTGGGTAAAAGGAGGTAGAAAGTTGGTAACTACTGAAAGTTAAGTGATAAATACACTGAAATTATTTACCTCTCTACCTTTGCATATGTCTGAGGATTTCTGTAATAAAAAGTTTAAGAGGAAAAAAAATCTACCTCTCTCTGAGAAGCAATATAATGCAAAGGAAAGAGCCCAGGCTTGAGAGACAGACAGGCAGAACTAGACAGGAATCCTGCCTCTGGCACTTGCTGGAAATAGGAACTTATCCAAAGAACCCACCTCATCTTTACACACAGATCACCCAACTAATGATTTTAGGGAAAAATTTTAAGTATGTATTTGGAAAGAGGCAAACTCCTGCCTGACGCTGAATAACTGGCAGCTGATACTGAGCTGAAGTGACTTGACGTATGGTGTGGACACCCTACTGTAGACAAACAGGGTGAGCCAGGGGTATGAGAAATGACTCCCTTATCCTTAGTCTGCTCATCTTTGTTAAAACCTGGGTAAAGTTTCCTACCCTCAAAAAAATGATAACCTCTCTCTACCTCACATGATATACAAAAATTAATTCAATGTAGATAATAGACCTAAATCTATAACATTTTTTCAGAAGAAAACGAATATCTTTGTGACACTGGATTAAGCAAGATTTCCTAACCAAAGCAAAGTCCATTTTAAAAAATTAATAAACTGGCTTCATCAAAATGTAAAACTCTGCTCTTCAAAAGACACCGTTAAGAAAATGGAAAAACAACCCACAGGTTGGGAGAATAACTTGAAAAATATATACCTGATAAAAGACTTGTATCCAGAATATGAAGAACTCTTAAAACGAAATAGTAAGAAAATAATCCAATTAAAATTTATTTTGAACAGACTCCTCAAAGAAGATAGCAAAATAAGCACACAAAAAGACACGCAATATCATTATCAGGAAGATGCACATTAAAACCACAATGAGATATCACCACACATCTGTCAGAATGCTTAAAATTAAAAAGACTGGCAATGCCAAGTGTCGATGAAGATGTGGAAGAATTAAAACTCTCATACACTGCTGAACACTTTGGATGCTTCTTAGAAAGTTAAGCCTACCACACAATGCAGCCATTCTACTGTTAGATATTTACACAAGAGAAGAGAAAATGTATCCATCCAGACAAAGGATTCATAAGGCTTCACTTACAACAGCCCAACATGAGAACAACCCAAATATACATCAATAGATAAGTAGATACAGTGTTATATCCACACAACAGAATACTACTCGCAATTAAAAGGGAAGAATTCTGAATACCTGCAACAATGTTGTTCAATCTCAAAATAACTAAGCTGACTGATGGTTTCACAATGTATATACATGTACACACACACACACCCCGAAACTTATCAAAGGTACACTTTGTGTAGTTTACTGTATGCCAATTATACCTCAATAATGCTGTTTCAAGAGAATGAACTGCTGACACACACATCAACACAGATCAGTCTCAAAATCATTAGGCTGAGCCAGACATGAAAAACCACACACATTTTGAATTCCACTCATATGAAACTCTAAAACAACAACAACAAAAAAGGTAAATCTAATGCGCTGTAACAGAAAGCAGATCACTGTTTGCCTGAAATTGAGGCTGGGGGTGGGGGAGAGATGCAGAAAGACTGACTGGGTCTGATCACAAGGGAACTTTCTAGAGTGAAGAAATGTTCTATATCTTCATTGTGGTCGTGGTTACATGGGTGTATAAAATTCACCAAAATCAATCAAAACATACATTAAAGGGGGTACATTTTACAGTAGGTAGATTATACTTCAGTAGTTGGTTTTTCTAAAAAAATAGTTTTGCCTTAGATTAACCTGATTCAGAGAATACTGCGTCGTACTGAAGATGAGACTAGCAAAACTGGATCACTGGCACGAAAGGCAAGAAGCTCTCTCTAAGATCAGGCTAACAGAGATACGCACGTACCTACAGTTGGTTTCTAAATTTCATGTACAGGGATGGATGGCACCATATGGCACAAAACGATCATGAGCCCAACTATGCAGAAGGCAAAATAACCCCACAACTACCCTGTCTTCCGACCTTTCTTCCAGCAGAGCTGAACATGGTGGCAGCAAGACGGAGCAGCTCAATCTGACATGGCCACCTATTTACAGACACAAGTTGATTCTGTCTCTCATTTTCCACAGGTGGTATTCTAGGCCCACACTCTTCCTTTCCCCATCGCTCTCACCAAGCCAAGGGAAAACTTCAGCGTCCTTCATCTTTCTCACAATTACATGGGACACTGCCTTTTATCTTTTCATCTCTTCAAGGCCATCCTCTCCTGTCTCTCTGACTGCACTCTGACAATGACTCCCCCTCCCATCAGGGACATTTATTTCCCTACACAACTCTTAACCTTCATCCTACAAACACTCGGGATGTCCCTCCTCCTGACGCTCTAGCATCCTCCCTTCAGCTACTGCTCTCTCTCCCATTGAAGTCAAGCTCCTGCAAGAAACAGTGCACGCTGCCACGCAGTCACCTCTCAGTCTGGTTCAGCGTGGCACCCTCTCACTGTGGCACCCTCTCACTGCCAAATACAGAAGTCTCTTCACTCCACCTCCGTGGTCTCTTTGTCACACCCACCTGTGCTGACACCCCATTCTCATGGCCTCAGACATTCTTTTTCAACTGGCCCCTCCTCGCCCTCCAGGAGCCTCCTTAAGTAGGTACGCCCAGGACTGCCACTGGCCCTCTGCTTACTCTACAGATATTTTCTCTTTGGACAGCAGCACCCGCACCTACAGTTCTAATGACTTACAAGCATGAGATCTTTACTGTCAGCCCTCGTTTCTTTCCTACTTCAGTACTGTAACTTGCACTCACATTGCTGAAAAAAGAATCTCCTTAGCACGGCTGTGAGGTGCTTTATAGGCTGGTCTCATCTGACCATTTCCAGTTCTGACTCAATCTGTATACTGTACGCTCCCAAAATATCTCTTTTTTGGAGGTAAAGTTTTATTGACATATAATGTACACAGAAAAGTGCCCACATTCTAAGTGAACAGTTCACAATCATGAAGTGAATATATTTATGTAATCACTACTCAGATCAAGAAACATAAAATATCACCAGTAACCCAGAAGTCCTCCTTGTCACTGCCTATGCCTCACCCTAAAATATCCAACTCCAAACATACTGATCTAACATTTCTTATTCCCCAAATATTCCTTCCCCTCCACACACCGACTTCTGTTTCTCTCTGAAAGCCAGACTCAGGCATCTTCCTCTGCGGCACTGGCGCGCGCTTGTCCACACAGCACCGTGACATCCACAGCACGTTCTGCTGCCTTATGCTATACGTTCATTACTCACTCGAGCCTTTTTGAGGGCAAAGACCACAGAGCACCTATCTCTGTGTCTGCAGGAATGAGCCCAGTATTGCCACAAAAATAATGTCTCCAATAAATGTTTTTTCCGGTAAAACTTCCTTGGAAAGACCTTTCTACATCTACTTTACCTGTGCGACATTCATTGCAGATAAATTTTCCTCTGGGCATTTCAGTTAATCCAAGGCACTCCAGGTGGAAAGCCCCACAGCACTGAGCCTCACATAACAGCAGCTCACCCAGTTTCTCACAGTTCTGTTAAGAGAAAGAAAACAGATCTGTCTACAGAAAAAGGCTTTAAAAATCCCAAGCAGAAGGCCCTGATTAAAGCAAAAATTAAGAAGCAGCTTTGTCAGAAACAAAAATCCCAGCATTCATTAAGCCAGTATTTAATAATTATCTCCTCTATGCCAGGTACTGCAAGGTCCCTGGCTCCATGATTCTTATGTTCTAAGGATACAAAGATACAAATAAACGATTAAACAAATGAAAGATATCAGACAAGGTATTTAGGTAGAGAATTCAAACAGCAACTTTGGATTGGGCGATTAGGAATGGCCTCTCAGACTGGGCTCTGAATGACAAGGTAGCCACGTGGTCTGATGAAAGGACCAAGAAGGCAAAAAGCACAGAAAGTTCACCGAGAGGAAAAACCAGGGCATGCCTGAGAATCACGAGGAAAGCCAGTGTCACTGAACTAAAGTGAACAAAAGTTAGAAAGTAGAAATGAAGTAAGAAAGAGGCAGGCAAGGGCCTGACTGTGCGGCCTTACAGATTACGGAACTGAGTTTCAGATTTTATTCTCACTGCAGAAGTGTACCTTGAGAGAGCTTTACCAAGGGAAGGCTGAAATCAGGGATTCACAGGTCCCTAGTAACTGCTACAAGGAGAATGAGTTCAAGAGCAGAAAGGTGAGAACAGAAGCAGACGATCAAGGAGGCCACTGCAATGGTTCAAGCAAGAGACACTGACCAGCAGGACTTGGGTCATAACAATCCCAGAAGAGCTCTGATTAAGATTTGAACAACCCTTGAAATACATCCAGCACCATCTCAGAGAGATCACTTTTCTGAGACAATCACATCTAAGACAGGGTGTCACTTAAGGTAGAGCCTTAGGAAATAAAGATCTGGGTCTGTTGCTTTGAAAACATTGTACAATTTATGAAAATTCTGCAAATTCCCAACCTTTGTCACTTTTCACCCCCTAACACATCCTGACTTGTTTCCCATAGTGATCAGCAGAAAACTGCTAAAAATGAAAAAAGTCTTATACTAATTCTAGTATCATTAGATACTAGACTTGCCCAGCCATCTTTCCCCTTTGTTTTCTCATAGAACAAAGAACCCCCCCAAAATAGAACAGGTCTTGGCCACTTAACATCAAATCTTAAATGAATGAGTAAGTAGAAGAACTGCAGAAATAAAGGCCAGAGGCGCCCAGGGATTAATAGGAGGCCCCAAGATAATATGAGCTCGTTCCACATGCCTGGCTCTACCATTACTGCTACTGACACACAAAAATTGACAAATGTCATAAATATTATTTATTTTGTTTTGCATATTCAGAGTGCCAGTGACATCAGCTATCATGTACAATAAACAAATTCACTTTCATGACTTAAACAGAAGAACTTCAAACATATACTAAAGAGTAAATTATTCAAATCAACCAAATGTTACAAACTAATCCTTTAACTGGGATGACCACATAATTCATCCTTCAAACCGGGACACCTGAGAGTGAAAGGAGTCGCTATAAGTAAATTACACAAGCACAACAGATTTAAACAAAGACTGATCCAAACCACAGGGCCACGGGGTCGCCATACCTTTCATCAGTTTTCACTGACAACCTTTGTGGGCATAAGAAGCTCTGAGGACTAACACTCTTTGGGAGCAGGGCTGAGTATGATTAACATTCTTTATACAGTTGTAAAGATGAACAGACAAAGAAACTGAGTTGAAATTATATTGGCCATAATAACATTCTGGGCCTGGGGTTATTCTATTTTTCAGCTGTTTCAGTTAGGAGGACAAAAAAATGTTTTCAACTTTTTATATGCCAAGTTTTAAGAACTGACAAAGGTAAATCAAGACCATAACCAAAGCATCCATTTAACTGACTCTACTCTCAAGTAAGATAAAGGCTCTTTAACATTAAAGTGGAGTCACATTTCACAGAGAAGCAAGACAACATAGTGGTTAAGACTGTAAACCCATATTGCTTGGATTTGAATCCTGGCTTCACTGAGTGACTACAAGCAAGCTATTTAACCTCCTTGTGCCTCAGTTTCCTTATCTAGAAAATGAGGATAATAATGGTTATCTTATGAGACCGTTATGATAACTAAATGATATATTTCTAAAGTGACTGGAAAAACACGTGACACATAGTAAACACTGTATAACGTTTATAATAAACAGAAAAGTAGAGGTGGTAAGTTCTCAAAGTCACTACTTTAATGCAAAACAAACAAACAAAAATCTCAAAGTGAAAATTACCCTTGAAAAATTCCATAGAAACCCAAAGATTCTCACACCATGAGAGGTGCAGGAAAAATATCTTTGAGCAACCACAGATCCACCTCTTCTTTCTCAGACTACTTCAGGGCATCTACTCATGGGCAAAAAGGGCAGACCATTCATGGACACTCAGTTTTTCTCTTCTTTCCTCTTTTTGTAGGGAGAGAGAAAGAGTTGAATCCTTAAAGGGAAGTGAGTCCACAGGAATCCAAGAAAATTTTTATTCTAACCATGACTGGGTCATCAGGAGATAGAGTGCTTCTCTTAAAAGATAAGCATGCAGTCAAAATGCAAGCGGGCAAACATTCTCTACCTGACAAACATTCTCCTTGAGTGCAGCTCCTCCTCCTCGTTCACCCTGCAGCTTTTTAGACGCAGGCATCCCGTGCTCATTTTCTATGCCTTCCTCGATGGCATCCTTGGGGCTTGCAGCTGTCCTGTGTGTCATCAGTTCTCCCTTGCAGAGAAAAAATAATGTCCCACATTTGTATTATTGATGTCTCCTCCATGTGACCCCCTCCCTCTGGGCTGCTATTTGTCTAGCCATTAAGCACTTACAGATGTTCAGCCAATCACGCGGGCGGACTGCATGCAATGTTAGTTCTAACCCTGCTGTGATTGGGCGGGTAGTGGGCGCCTCATGCCCTGCCACTAACTGCTCTGAGGCTGTTCCACTGGAACTTTTTGAGCTGTTCCATTTTAAGGTTTCACTAAGGGAGAGAAAACATTCTTAAGTTTATTTGATTACTTATTTGTCCTTCCAAGATCAGAGTTTCCTAAATAATGCCTTCCTTGGGCATTCTATTCAAATTGTCCTGGAAAGAAACACTGTATCCTAATATGTGATTCTGACCTGACTTACTCTAATCCTCTTTTAACCTGAGTTGGAAAGCGACAGACAGCATCAGTGACTGCACTGATGCTCTGCAAGAAAATGGCTTTACTCTATCTTTGTTTCCTAAAAGACCCTGTTCACAAACATTACTCTAAAATTAAGCAGTTGACGGTCTCAAATAAGCAAATGACTTTCCCCCAATCGCAGCAGGTGCAACCTTTGAAGAGCAAAATCCAAGTTCATTCAGATCATACGGTTCCCTGATACTGTGCGCTCTCATTTTACAGCATGGTGACTATAGTTAATAATGCTGTACTGAACACCTGAAATTTGCCAAGAGAGTTAACATTAAGTAAGAAAACTTTCACTAAACGTCAGCACTCTTCTATTTTGGTGTCTTACATAATGTTTCTTACTGGTTTCTGCTTTTATAACTTCATAGCCTCTATTTCTTATGTTTAAACTTTCAGATAAATAATATATTTGGTTCAGAGCATCGTGAATGTTCCTTTTGGGTCATGCTGTTGCTCTACACTGCTTCTTTGGTGATGAAACAGTTATATGTTTCATCTGACACCTAGAGCAATGGATGGGATCTTTTAAAAGGGTCACACCCACAGTTGCCGTAAGTGCTTGGACTTATTTCTACTAGGATCAGGCTCTACTTTTCCTCCAGAATTCCTTATCACTACCGGCTGTTTCAAGAGAAGACTATTTTTAGGAAAACTCAAGGGAAAGAGGAATGTGTCCTCTACTGTGAAAAGCAGCTTCGTTCTGGAAGGGCAAAAGATGAAGAACTGAGTAATACCTCGGAGCCTGGAGTTTCCTTTGATGAGTCGTCATTTTTCATTTTTTTATAATGCATCTTGGCTGTAGCATGCCTCTGTCGTTTTCGCTTCCTTGGTTTATCAAATAGCCTTGTAGTGCCTGTGACAGGAGAACAGGTGTTACCTGCTGGCTCATCATGCGCAAGTCCAAGACTCCTATCCTCAACTAAAGGGACCTCACAGAACTATGGAATGACACAGTAAAAACCAATCTTAAAAGCTGCTTAATTCTCCAACTTTGTAGATGAGAAAAACAAGGTCAGAGGGAAAAAGAGACTTACCCATGAGTATATAACTAGTAGGGGAAATAGCTACATATATACATAAATTCTGCCTCATATAGATTAAATAGTAAATGTGCTGGTTATTAAAGCAATTTCATTTTATATAATTGACACAAAGGACTTTCTAGTTCATGAAAAGACTTTATTATCCTATAGATGAGGAGAAAATGCATTTAGTAGCCAGGCCTCCAAGATTAAAGACAATAAATTGTATCGTTATATGACTTAAGGATTAAGACAAAAAGCTGAAATACCTACGATCTGGCTTACAGGAAGAGGAAAAAATACCTCCCTCCCCGAATACGTGTACTGGCCCAAACGATGTCCATGCAGAGGTACTGTAACCATGAACATCTAACAACATAAAATAGATGTCTCATCTAATCTGACATATTTAGAAAATGGAATCTAATCTCTCCCTCAGTTTTTATTATACATAGTTCAACTCTTTGTTAAAGAAACATCAGGAGGAATCTAAAGAAGTATTTGATAAAATGTTCCAGGATATTTAGGCTAAGTATCAACATGAAAGTCAGACGCTAGAAGACTGCCTCAGTGCTCTCTTCTTGAACTGCCTGATAAGATGGAGAAGTTCTGCTATCAAAGCTGCCGACAGCCTGCAACTAATTAAGAGTTAATATCGTGGCAGAATCAAGGCCCAAACTTCTCAAAAGTTGAAACATTTAGATGAAATTCACAAAGGATAAAGTGCAAGTTGTAGGCTTTACAAAAAACTGAAGTACAAAAAGCACAGGGAAAGAACTGATGTTCTGACAACAGATTTTTCTTTAAGCAAGCAAACAAATTGACCAACCTATATTATAACTGCATACAAGGTTAAAATAAGCTAACTCATTGCTAGATTTGCTTGCTAAACAACTTAATAATCACAGATCACATTTAAAGAAGTGTGCATTTAAGACCTGGTGAAATACAATCTCCCCACGGTACCCTTTGCTGGTAGACCATATGTATGCAGTGTGCTCAGATCTAGGCTAATGTTTCAGGAATGACACCAATCAATAAATGGCAATGGTAGACAAAATTATGGTAGTGAAAAGAACTGGAGAAAAATGTGGAGTGGATAAGAGATGGCAGTATGGCAATGAATTTGGTCAGGTCTGGATTTAGTTCCCTAACCCTGCTAACCTCTTTCACCTTCATGTTTCTTCTACAAAATAGGGATAACATGAATAACATCTTAACTTTGTAATGCTTAGATAGATCAGAGGCAACAGTCCTTAAGCAAAGAGTCTGGTAGAGCAGAGCATTGTGACTATTATGTCTGTTACTCAATGAAAGGCTGCCCACTCCTCCTCTGGGCAGAACCACGAAGAAACAGAATTTCCAGGAGAGAGATTCCAATGTAATCTAGAAGATTCCCAAGGCCTTAAGAAGCAACCACAATGGACTAGGCTCAAATGTAAGCTCTCCTCACCAAGCATATGCTCACTGACCAAAGGTCACAAATGTGATAAAAGAAACTAAGACTACAAAAGACGGGTTCAGGTGATTTGTAACTTCCCCCTGAACCCAGATTCTGTATTTTCTGTCCTGTAGAAATAAACATTGAATCAAAGCCAAGACAGTAACAACACAGTTTGGGAAATTATCTAGTAAGAATATTAAGCAGCTGACTTTTCTCTACTGTTCCTAACATTTCCTTAACGCTAATGTGATTCTAGTTCCATGTAACTAATTTTAGCATAAAGCTGGAAATGACAATACAATTTTCTAGTGTCATGTGTAGCTTCAGAAAGCATATATTGGGCAAACAAGTCTTAGAACGTGCAAGCTCACTGATCTTGCTTTGCAACTTTTCTCATTAACTAACAACATACTTCACACAACTTTTGCAATACATTTTTTAAATCTCAAAAATACTCACCTCCACCAAACTCTTTAGAACGAGATGCAGCACATGATTCAGTAATGTTATTCTCCAAGTGACCACCTTCATAACACTACAAGTAAGTAAAATGCATCATGGTTTACAGAGGAATAGAAAGCAAACCCTTTAAATTATGTACCAAAAGTTAAACTATCTACTGCCATACATACAGAATCCTGGCTGGTTTTGACAATTAAAGGAACAGTATGGTAACAGTACAGGTAAACACCACACACTCCTTTGGGGATAGGGGTGTTAAAGAGGGGGCTTATCCAGAGACTCCCAATATATAAAGCAGACACAAAATGCTGTACTGGGAAAGAGAAAAGGTATGTACTCAGAGACCCACCAGCTCAGTTCTATTCCAAAACACCCTGTACTGAAAATCTACCATCCTTATATTTATAGTCACTGGATTTTACAGACTTATTTATTTGATGAATGCTAAATGTTAAAAAGCTCTGAATCATGAATGCCTTCCTAAGTGGCTATAGATCAATATAAATTAAAGCAACACTGAAACTAAAAACATTTAAACATCAAGAGTAATTCATTATACATTTTATTCCTCTAGTACTAATGTTTGTATGAATTAGTTCTATTTCAAGAAAATATCTTCCACAAGAATAATATTCTTCACCATGACTGTAAAACAAAATTCAGTGTATAATGAATGCTATTCTTGCCATAAAGTTCCCGAAGTCTGAGGTCAAAATAAGATAAAATGCAACTGTGAACTTCTGAATGCTCATTATATACATTAATAAATCAGAAGAACACAACTTAACTCATGCTCAATGTAGATCAGAGTCTGACAAAGTCAACGAAAATGAAGGAGCAAGTGCTAGGTATCTAGTTAAATAGATCAAAAGACTGGTGGACGAACCCACAAAACAGATTTGCATAACTTAAAGAAAAACACCATCTATATTATTTAGATAACCAATTTATAGTTCATTCTGTAACACTCATCCAAAAGCTGTGGCACAAAAACAATTCGAATGTTCCCAAAACTAGTCAGAGAACAATACAAAAAACATGCTCACTTCTGATGTCATCAACTTTGTAAGTTAAAACAGAAATAACAGCACATACACCCAAGCAAAAATCACACTACAGGAATAAAAATCCATCTGCTCTGCTTAGAATAAAAGACCACAGAACTATGTAAGTGCCTTGGAGGACATGACAAAGATGCCGGTAACTTACTTTTGCATAATCTGGTGTGGATATACACCAAGCCAGCGCACTCTTAAGGTACCACTACCTCAACAGAAAATTCCTCTTTCTCTAACCCACTGACTGATCCATCAGCAGGTAGGATAGCTTGTCTGGTAACTCATGGTGTAGTCCCAAGGTGGAACTGAATCATGGTTTCAACGTTATGACAAAATATACCTCAGAGTACCCAGGACCTTAACTGTGTGAGGATGACTATGTCAGACAGCAGGACTGACTTCTAAAACAGAAAAGAGGTCACTCTTCTCCAGAGTCTGGTTCTAGTCATCACTGTTAATCCTGATTTTCTCTTGTTCAAGTGCCAAATTTGATGCCTATCTCTTTATGAAAAAAGCTAAAATTCAAAAGTGACAGTTAATAACGCACTTAAAGAGGCCAATAATATAAAAGTTCAATAGTTATTAGATACTTAACAAGTGGTACTAAAGCAATTGGACATTCACTTCAAAATTCCATCTCAAAACATGAAGACCTGTACATAAAATCAAAACCATAAAACTCCTAAAAGCAAACAGAGGAAGTACATCTTTGTGTCCATCAGTAGGCAAAGATTTCTTCAAATAAGCACAAAATATAAATCATGAAAGAAAAAAACTTTAAAAATTTCCTTCTCATGATTCAATTAAGAAAATGAGTAGGCATGCATCAGACTGGGAAAAAATATTTATTGTACATATACATGACAAAGGACTCATATCCCAAATATAAAAAGCAGTCTTAAAAAGCAACCATAACGGGGAGGGTATAGCTCAGTGGTAGAGAGGTCCTGGGTTCAACCCCCAGTACCTCCATAAAACAAATAAACAAAATAAACCTAATTACCTTCCCCCACAAAAAACAAAAGGCAACCATAAAAAAGATGAATAGTCCAATCAAAAATGCGTTTGCTTAGTTAGGAGAGTGTAATTCAGTGGTAGGGTGTGTGCTTAGCATACACAGGTTCCTGGGTTCAATTCCCAGCATCTCCATTTAAATAATTAAATAAATAAACCTAATTACCTAGCCCGCCAAAATAATGTTTAATTTTAAATATACATATGTATGTGTGCTTGAACAGTTGTTTTACAAGATACAGGAATGACCAGTAAGCACATACTAAGGAGTTCAAATTCATCAACCATTAGGGAAATACAAATTAAAAACATAATTAGGTATCATTTCATATCCACCAGAATGGCAAAATTTAAAATGACTGAAAACCAAATGCTATTAAAGATGTGGAGCAACTGAAACTCTGATACACTGCTGATGGGAGTGTGAAGTTGTACAAGCACTTTGGAGAAGTGTTGCACAGTTTCTTTAAAATACAAATATTCATGAGCCAGCAATCTCGCCCTTAAGTATTTACATCTAGAGAACTGAAAATGTAAGTACACACACACAAAAAAACCCTCAGAGAGACTACTCATACCAGCCTTATGACTAATAGCCCCAAAATGAAAAAACTCACACGTGTATCAACAAGAGAAAGGATAAGCAAATGGTACTTGGAACACTACTCAGCAATAAAAGGAAATGAACTACTGAAATAGCACCCTTGTGGTATGTATCGCAAATACATGGGTTCAATAAAAGAAGCCAGTTAACAAAAACAAATACATACAACATCCAAGAAGAAGCAAAAGTAATCTATGGTGACAGAAGTTAGAAAGCGTTGCCTCTGGAAGTGATGAGAATGGGAAACTGAATGAAGAGGGGCAAAAGAGAACTTTCAGGGGTGATGGATGTAATGCATACTTAGTTTGGGTACTTACATGGTATATATAATTGTCTAGAGCCATCAAACAGAACAGTTAAGATCTGTGCTTTTTTATTTGTGTGAATTAAATCTCAACTTTAAAAAAGAAAGGAATTCTGAGATACATTTGTCTATATAAATTAAGTATATAAACTAAATCATGCTTTTTATCCTCTTAGGGAAAAAAAATAACCTAGAAACATGACAAATTAAATTTCAGGTTAGAAAACTACATTTGTCAGAGCAAGGTGATACAAATTAACACTATTTTTGCAAGTCAGTCAGTCTCAAAACCACTGAAGAATCATCTTACTCCTTCAAAATCAGTCACTTATATACGCCAATTATAGCTCCATAAAACTGGGGGAGAGGGGATATCATTCACTTAACTG